GCAACCAGATGCAACCCCTTTTGCAAGTGCATCTTGCTGGCTGCAAACAGCTTCAAGAGAGCTGTTTTGTAATGTGCTCTAAAATAGCTTCAAGAATAACCCCCCTGTGGTTGCACACACTCAGGGGGCTTTTCATTGGCAGGTTTAAAACTCACCTTGCTTGCAGTCTCCTACAAAAGCAGCATTGCTCTGGTCAGCCTGTGTAAAAAGGCCTGCCCAAGAGAACTGTAAGGCATCCACAAAAGTTTTCCACAAATTTTTTCTTGCTTTTCAGTTGCACTCTGCCTTTGGTCTCTTCGGGGTTGCCAGATTCCATTTTTGTCAGACTTTACACATGTAAAACCTCCTAATTCACCCCAACAGATGAAATCCACTATTGCGTAAATCAGGAGTAACCAGAAAGAGCTCCCTAGAATCAGCTGTACTGGGGAGACCTCTATGTAGGAAGCAAGGTTAACACACGGTTCCCAGATTAGGTGTGGCTTTAATGAGCTCATGCAAGGCGAGTCCAGAGGGGAGTGGTTCCATGATTCTATTTTTAAAACGCATATAAAAATCATCCTTTGTTGTCTACATGCAACAGAGGAGGAAGAGACCTCTCTCACGTTACAATTAGAGGCAGCAGCCTGGACTGACCTAGTTTTCAGCGAGAAGGGGTGCTATGTTGACCCTTGGATTTCAGCTGAGATGAGGTAACCAGCTTGGGTCAGTGCCACGTTCCACAGAGCCTGGAGCCGACCGGCGGGCCCTCTCCTCCTCAGCGGGGCTAATGTGCAGAGCCGGCGGGAAATGCATCCCTTCCTTCCAGGACCTTGAAGGCCCAGGCTCCGCAAAGAGGCTCTCCAGGTGCACTGCCTTCTGGAGATTTGCAGGGGAGACAACACCCCGAATCATTCAACTCTCAGCACTCCCCTCACTCTCGCATTCAAAATAATTTGGGGGCTTGCCAGTTGGGCTTGCTTGTCTGCGACTTAAGGTCCTAAGCTTGGCACCTTCGCGAGCCTCTGTCCACCAGCAATTCTCTTATGGCTTCCTTGGATGCCAGTAGCCATTCGCTTTCTCAGAAGAAACACCGGGGCAGGTTCGAAGCCACAGAGGAAGCAGGAGCCTGGGTGTGGAAAAGCAGGCTGTGGACCCGGGGACCCCGCCCTGCCTGGGCCGCCTGAGCCCGGTGCGCAGGACCGAGAGGACACAGGGAGAGGGTCTACCTCCCAGTGTCTCTCTTCCTCCGGCTGTCTTGCAAAATGCTAGCCCACAGAAGGTGCTTGATACTAGAAAATACGGGGGTGGGAGGTGGCAGGGCGCGTGGCACTACAGTGGCTTGGGAATGTCCCGCAGAGAGGGGCACTTTCCCCTTGAAATCTTCCGGTTCACCTGGGCAAATGCTTTGCACTCCAGCAGAAGAAAAAACCCAGGTTGGCGGCTGGGGCTAGGGGCTAGGGAAGGAGATCAGAACAGGTACACTTCGTAATGGGGCGGGGCCCCATAACCAGGTCCAGTCAAGAACACAACCAGGGTCTGCCGGCAGCGAGCACGGCCCCCTGGGCGCTTAGCCTCAGTTTTGCCTCACCCGGCCGCAACCCTTCCCAAATCTTTAAACTCGAGTCGGTGCGTGCGGACCACCGGTCATCGCCCTCCTTGTGCGTGAACTTGAGCCGAACTCTGGGCGCGGTGCCCGCAGTCGGACCCATAGATGCGGTTCCGAGAAGCCCAGAAGTCCCCTCTGCCCGCCGTGGCTCTGTCGGGACAGCGCGCGGCGCCTCCGTCTCCCCGGGCGCGGGAGAAAGTCCGTGGCCTTCCGGGGTTAGTCATCCGCGGGAGCCCGGGACTCCGGATGAGGGCCGAGGGCGCGCGCGCATCAGGATACACGATCGTCCCTCCAGGCCGGGAAAGGCACGATGGCCCTGCCTAGCTCCGCCATCAGGACGCTCTCGGTCGCCAAGTACGGGG